GTTTTTGGAACGTTTGACACTAGATCTTATTCAAGTAATAGAGATGGACAAATGATATGTGGAGGAGTTCCGTACTATGGGAAATTGTTTGACATCGTTGAGATTTGATGACACAATAGCTCTACAATTATCAAGACCTGCCACAGATGATGACACTCCAAATTTGGTACCTAATCCAAATGAGGATGAAGATATGGACATATGACTTTTTTGTTGAAGGTTCATGTTATGTGTTTCATTATAGGGTTGTGTCATGTGTTTCATTATAGGGTTGTGTCATGTGTTTTCACAATTAACTTTTTGTACGGTGTGTTGTGTATGGTTTACAGCCCTAAATCAATTTTTTTTTTAATGTTGTTGTTGCTAAAGACTTATTATTTGCAATTTTAAATATTATGAACTTTTTCTAATACATATTGTGTAGTGGATGATTTTTAAATACGTAAATGCATGCTACCATGTTATATTTGGGACAAAATGATTAGGTCAAATGCCGCGCACAAGGAGATTTACAGCAAGAAAAAGTTCAACAACATCATCTACTCCTCCAATCCTAGAAACTCAAAATGTGCAGTCCAATGTTGCCATACAAAATGTAGGCCAAGAAGATCAAGTTCATTCTCCATCCCAAGAACCAGCTGATGTACCACTTGAAGTACAACGGGTTAAGAGAGCATGCAACAAATACTGGGTTGTTGAAGTTATAGGTATACCATTTAATATCTATATTGAGTTTTAATTTTTTTTATGTATGCCTGTGCCATTATTTTTATACTAACAAAAAACACTAAATATTATGTTATAGATGATAGAGGAAGGAAATCCGAGGAAAGATTGAGGATCAAGGATGTTTTGGTACTGCCGGAACACAAGAAGGTTTTGGTACAATGGTCTGAAGATGGTCAACCTGTTGGGGATGGTTCTTCACTTTTGAATGGCTTTTTGGGACATCTTGCATGTAACACTAATCTATTCCCCATAAGTTATGTGAGGTGGCCTGATGTACTTCCCTGCTATAAGACTGATGTTTGGGAAAACACAATTAAGGTATATATGTTCTTTTAATTTACTTCAGTGACCTTAAGTTATTATGAATTGTTTCTGAATATTTTTCACATTGCAGAAAAAGTTTGACCTTTGCACTGATGACGAGCACGACTATTGTATGGGAAATATAGGTAAAAAGTGGAAGGATAATAGGCACAGGTGTGTTGATTTTATTGACAAAAACAAAACTTTTGAGGAAAACCTAGAAAATTATCCAGACGGTACGACTAGAGAGCAGTGGGCTGGTTTTTTGACTTATAAGACAAGTGAGAAAGCACAGGTAATGAGATAAGCATGCATATATTTTCTTAATGTGGTTTACTTGACTACCTGTAATTATGTTTTGTGGGACAATGCAGAAATATAGTGAGATTAATACAAGAAATCGAGCAAAACAGACTATAATGCATACACTTGGTGCTAAATCTATTGCAAAGACAAAACACGAATTGGTATTTCCGTAAATCATAATTTTTTTATTTATATCTGACATTGTTTGAATTTAACTAACATTTACCATATTGTCATTGCTTTAGGAAAAAAAACTTGGACGCAAAATTAGTAAGGGAGAGATGTATACCATTGGGCATAAGAAAAAAGATGGCAGCTTTGTTAGTGAGGAAGCTAGATCAAAGAATGTAAGTATGTTCTTTGTGAATAAGGAAGCTATACATCCCTGTTGAATTAATATTTGATTTTGTTTTGTAGGACGAATTACTAGAAGAAATTGAAGATGCATCTGATGAAGATGAAGCCTTTGAAATTGTGTTTGGGAAGGAGCACTCAGGTCGCGTTAGAGGAATGGGGTTTGGGGTGGTTCCATCTCAAATGCGTAAGCGCAAAGCCTGTGCAGAATCATCTTCTAACAGTGTTCCTAGTCAAGCTGAGTATAATTCCCTTAAAGAAGAGCATAATTCCCTTAAAGAAGAGCTTGTCACTTTAAAAGGACAGATGGCTGCAATTATACAGCTTATGGGTGGTACACTACCCCCTAATTTGGTATGTGTGTATATATATTATTCCTTAAGTTTTTGTTTAGTGAGTGCTAGGCCTTAAATTCTATTATTAAATTTAGATGATTTATCTATGATAACATTGCAAATCCAAAATCCTTATATTTTGTCGTCCATATTTTCATGAGGTCAATATTCATGTGTTTGATTTCTGGATTGAATGTGTCACCTTATAATACCAAATGTATGAATACGATTTTCTTTTTTTTTGTGTTTTTTTTTTCTGATGACGATGTTTGCTTTCTATTGGTTACATGTCTCTAGTTTGTCAAAGAGAAGTCAAACATACTGTTATTCATGGGTCTGCATGTCTTATGTATTGTCCCTAATAGAGCTTAGAATTGAACAGTGTGTAAAGAGACATATAGTACACTTATCATTAATAAATGGTTGAAATTAAAATAATGTAAATTATTTATAGTACACAATTTACCTCGTGCGATAGTGAAATTAAAATGGCTGCAATTAGCTTGGTTTGATTTTCTGGTCGAGTGTAGGGTGCATTTGTTTAGGTTGCATAATACTGAATTTTGTACTTCAATTTTGAACTTGTGCTGTAATTATTGTGATAGGTAATTAGGATTTTTAGTCTCAGGAGCTCACCTGCTCAGTTATTGTGCCCACATTTATTTGTGCTATTTGGTTTCAGAGAGTGATGTTGATAGTACCACCTATTCATGACACTATTGAAGGTTGAATAGTGTCTAGAATAGTGCCTACAACCGCATCTGATTAGAATTCCTAAATCAGTGATTTTCTGGTCATGTTTTCAAAAAAAAAAGTGATTTTCTGGTCAAGTGATGTTGATGGCACTATTAAAGGTTAAATAGTGCCTAGAATGTGACATTCGTATTAATTTGGTTCATACCTGTAATGAATTCATTTCTATGAAGATTATCATTAATGTATGTTTTTTTTTTCAAATGTAACAGGATGCAGATATGGGCTCCCCAGGAATAAGAAGATCATCTAATGCGAGTCATAATCCAGCAGGCGGTTCATCACCTATTGTTCCACCACAACCTTGAATATTTTATGTTGTCATTCATTATGGATTTTGCTTTATGTTGTCATAATTATGGAGTTTAAGGTTTGAGAGAGTGTAATGAATAATTATAATGTATGAGGGGCTCTCTATCGGGTTGTTTTGTAGACTAGAAGCATAACTCACCTTGTGGTGGTGTGTCTAAATATTATATCATGTTAAATATTTTGTTTTATAATTTCTCATATTAGCTGATCAATATGCTATTTGTTATTCTTGTGATGAAATTATACCCTATTGTGCTTTTAATTAATTCTGGAAGAGTGTATGGATATGAATTCTTAAATGCAACAATTTAATTATTTAATTATTACATAAAAATTAAATAAATACAAAATGTATTTTGGAGGCTAACAAATAGCTTTATTATTAGTCAAATTGAAATGAATATTTATAAAAAAAATAAATATTTAAATAAATATTGTTATAAAAAAAATATTGCAATTAGTATTTAAACAAATAAAAAATCGAAATAAATGTTGTTTACTAAAAAAATTAAATAAATATATTTATATTTTATAAACCACATACCGCCTCAGAATGGAATTTGAAGGCGGTTGATTCAATTTGTTAGCACACACACAAAAACCGCCTCCGTATGACATTATGAGGCCGGATATAAAACCGCTACTAATAACGCCTAGGAATATTACCTAGAGGCGGTTTGTACAACCGACTGAGATTGAAATTTTAAGGCGGCTACCTAATCGCCCAAGATTGAAATTTATACGCACTTATCCGAACCGCCTAAAATTGTTATTGCTAAGCGGTTTACAGATCCGCCTCCGATTATATGTTTTTGGCGGGTATATAAACCGCTGGAAAGTATCTTTTGGAGTCGTTTAAAAAAACCGACAGATAATGTACAACACAGGCGGTTAGAAGAACCGCTGCGAAGTGTATTTTTCAGGCGGGTTCCCAAACCGCGTCATATTATCGTTTAGAGGCAGATATTCCAGCGGTTGTTTTAAACCGCTTGAGATTGTCTCGCGGCAGAGTTAAAGGCGGCGGTCTACATACCGCCTTAAAGCTTCTATTGGAGGCGGTTTGAACCGCCTAAAAAAGTAAAAACAACCGCCTGGAATTGACCCTTTTTTTGTAGTGTGTTAAAAAAATAAAATATTTGATGCGTGCAAATTTTCTTTTTTATAACAAAAGTAGGAATAAAAGTATAAAACAGAAACTACAGTAGACGCAAGTAACAGTCTCCATCTAAAGTCGGAGTCTAAACTCTAAAGATTCCACCTAGACGCATGCATGAATTATTAATTAAAACTCATGTGAGTTATTACTAAATTATAACCATTGAAATTTATTAAAAGCGTGCTGAATTTTCTATCATTGACATTCAACCTTACAAACATATATACAAATTTACACTTACCATATATAAAAATACTTGCAGTACAAAGTACTAAAAAATTTGCAGAGAAGGGCTAACATAAAAATATCCCTATTATTTTTGTGCGTTATTGACCCGTATTCTGGGTCAGGAAACAATTAAATTAGGGTGTACTTAACAACTTGGCGAAAGCAGCATGAATTTATTTTATTAACGGTGTGATCACATCATGATAGGGTGGCAATTCATGACCTTATCCATATAATACGATTCTAAATCAATCTTATATTACTACAATTCATGAAATTGTGCTTCTTTTTGTTTGTGAATAAGAGCCAAAGGAAGCTTATTGGACTCTCTCTCTCTTTTTTTTTTTTTTAGTATTTTATTGGACTCTTCTTAATGTAAGAACAAGATGCGGTAGTTTGAACAACCAACTAGAAGGCTTTGAATCCCAACAACTATATGTGCCTCCGTCAACTAACGCGCCCAAAGGCAAAACAGCCACATGCGCCCATTGATTAATCGTCCAACTTTGACTTGTCCACACATCTCACACACACTCTTATTTCATCTCAACCTTACCCAGTAGACCACTCACAACTTCCTCTCTTTGTCTATATATTCACAAACACCATTTCTTTTTCCCTCCTCAATCTCTCAAGCACACAACCTCAACCCTTTCCTTGCAAAAACCCATGGGTTATTATTTTAACCATTAATAAGGCATACATAATTTTTTTCAACTGCTTGATCATAAGCGCGAATCTGGAGTGATACATATTTGATTAGAAACAAAGGTTAGAGAATCAGTGATGGAGATTCAAGAAAGCCAACAGGAAGCATGGTCGGAGACAGGGAGCAACGGAAGCAGAAGCACGCGAGTGGGCTTCAGTGGGCCTATGAGTGGGCCGTTAGTTTCAAACAAAAGGAACAGCAGCAAGAAGAGCGCGAGATTCAAGGACGAGGATGACTTCGTGGAGATAACGTTGGACGTCCGTGATGACGGCGTGTCGGTCCAAACCATTCGCGGCGGTGACTCCGAGACGGCGCTGCTGGCCAGCCGTCTTGAGAAACGGCCTTCGTCGTTATCGGTTCGGCTCAGACAGGTGTCGCAGGAACTCAAGCGCATGACTTCTTCAAACAAGTTCGATAAGGTCGACAGGACCAAATCTGGTGCTGCTCGTGCCCTCAAAGGTCTCAAGTTCATGACCAAAAACGTTGGAACTAAAGGTTGGTCTCAGGTGGAGGAGCGCTTTGATGAATTTGCCGTTGATGGAAAATTGCCCAAGACGCGCTTTAGCCAGTGCATAGGTATGTATTAATATTAAGCCCCCACTATGGTGCGAAACTTTCCTCAGTGGGGTGGGCTTGGCAAGCATTGCATAATAAAAAAGTAGCTAGGAACTAACGCAGTTTTTATATACTTTTTTTTTTTATATGACTTAAAACTACAAGATATCACACAAATGGCTTAGGCTGATTTAAGATCGTATTTCTTTTCTCTTTTTTTTGAAAATTTAAGATCGTATTTCCAAAAACTAATTTTGTTGTTGAATTTGGGTGGAAATGAAAACTAGGAATGCACGAGTCCAGGGAGTTTGCTGGTGAGTTATTTGATGCATTAGCTCGTCGTCGGGGCATAACATCAGCTTCCATAACCAAGGATGAGTTGCGCGAATTCTGGGAACAAATTACGGATCAGAGCTTTGATTCAAGGCTTCAGACCTTCTTTGACATGTAAGACCTCATCATTTCACTTTTTCGTTTTTCCTTCGGTTTTACTAAGGATTCTTTTTTTTTAAAGAGAAGGGAGAAAAAGAATCCTTATAATTAGGATATGCCATGAGAAATCTAATATAATTAAAGATTAGAAGAGTGTAAAATAAGGTGCTCAATTTTCTTAAAACACTACAAACTCTAGGAAGATATCGTCGGTGATTGGTGATTAGGTGACTTTGCTTATGAATTATTTTTCGCTTTCAGACAGAAAAAGCAACACCGCATTTGGTGCAATTTGCATGTGAACCATGCGTCATAATACTCTTGTTGACTTTATAATATTACCACTTACAAACGAAAGGTACAGGAAGCAATAAGAGTTACATTATTTTTTTGTGGGGTTCATCAAATGAGTTTTTTTTTTTTTTTTAAATGCAGTACTTGGGAGATGAAATCAAGGATCTTTTCAAACAAAAAAAGTTTTTGAGTTTGATTCTTACGCTAATGGTCTTTCACTGTGGTCACATGTGAATATTATTACAAGTTTTTTTTAAAGTTTATGACATGTCTTAAAACTTTTGTCTGTGCATAATAAGTCTTTAGAATTGAGCAATCTTTCATCGTTTTAAACTCTTGTATATAAAAATAAAATAAAATAAATAAATATACATACAAATTTTCAATATGTATTAAATTTATTTAAATTAGGTTTCTTTAAGTATTTTTTCAACTAATCTTAAACAAATCATCTAAAATAAAACCTTTTTTTTAAGACTATGAGGTATTTCCACACTTTTTAGCGTGGAATTCTAATTTTCACTTTAGGGGTTAACTTAGCCCAGCCACAGGATGTTTACAGCCAGTTTGGTAACCTACATTATAATAAATTATGCCTATATGGAGGCCAATTTGCTAAATGAGCTACACCTGGAGGCTAAAATAATGACTTGGTTTATACAAATTATTTTCCTATTAAAAATAGTGATTTTAAACACTTTTACATTTTGTTTGTCCATTCTTTGAGGATGAGTTATTTTATTCACCGTTCCAACTTTAACAAATTTTGTGATGGGATTAGAAGTGGAATAGTAGACGTTGGAGCCAGAATATGAACAGAAACCAGCAAATTAAACAACCAAATTGAATACAAAAAGGAACCTTTAAGGGGGAAAAGAAGGAAAGAATCAACGGTTGGCCCCTTTAAGAAAAAGAACAAGTGAACGGGTGGTTGGGTTGACCGTTGAAAAATTTATATAAGCTAGCAGCTATTTGAGAAATATTATACGTACGTATATCTTAGTCAAAACATGAAAATAATTATGTGCCAAATGTCAATATTATTGAATCTTGATTGGGTCTACGTACACCCACTTCTTTTGAGTTGTCCCTGACTCAATAATATCTTAACTAATGTGCCAGGGTGGACAAGAATGCTGACGGACGAATTACCGAAGAAGAAGTTAAAGAGGTGAGAATTTATTATGAGGAAAAAAAGAAACGAGATGTACCTAATCAGTAATAGCTTAATTTTATGCATTTCAGATCCAATCTTATATTAACACCTTATAATGTAATAAGTTTAATTATATTAACAACTAGATAATTAAGACGTTAAATTTATTAAACATAAAATATATTTTATATATATTGACATTATATCAAAATTAAATTCAATCTGCAATACATTTATTGAATTGCTCATTTTTATAAGAAACACGTGGAGGTGTGAACATTGTTTTACGTGATTCATTTTACAGATTATCGCCTTAAGCGCTTCCGCTAATAAGCTGTCAAAAATACAAGAACGTGCAGAGGAATATGCAGCCCTTATCCTGGAGGAGTTGGATCCAGACAACCTTGGGTTCGTTGAGGTTTGAATTCTATTCATAAATAATAGATTAGAAAGAAAGTTCAGCTATGAATAAATATTTCTATCACTGTCACTCTTTTTATGTCATTGTTTGTCTATTTTTACGTCCAGTAGCGATATATACTGCTTTTTTTTTCTATCTACTGAAATATTTTAAGAAAATATAAATATTATATTGTAGGAATAAAAATTGGGTTTTATTACTATCATGTTACATGATCCAAGAAAAATTTTCTACACACAATTAAGAGGTGGGGTCCACATGTTTTTTTTTTCTCTTTCATCATTCCACCTTATCTCTCTTCCTTTATTGTGAGGGTAGGAAAATATTCTTATATCATGTAACATTATAGTAATAAAACCCATAAAAATTTTATACTGCAGTACATCTGAGGGACCCAATATTTTATAACCTACTAATGACTCATAGTATAAGTGGGGCCTATAGATAAAAATATTTTCCCATATTTTATACACGAAAGTGAGGGCACATCTCGTTAGCCGCCATTTTTGTCGTACAATTCCAAACATTCTACTCAAATGGCCTCAATATAAAATGAGCCTAGGCCCTCCTTTAGGGATTTATTTTTTTTACTACTGAAGTACTGAACATTATACTCCTTTTTCCAAAATAAATCTTTTTTATTCCATTTGAGTACACCATGAGTGCTTAAACCTAAACTTATCATTTTTGCTGAATTGTCCACCCAACAACTTAAATGATTTTTCTAACTGGACTTAATTAGTGTTTAACCGATGTAATATCTAACGTAAATAAATGTGTGACATCATGCAGCTGTACAACTTGGAAATGCTTCTTCTGCAAGCCCCAGCACAATCAACCCACATAACCACGGATAGTAGGGTTCTGAGTCAAATGCTGAGCCAGAAACTAGTCCCTACCAAAGAGCACAACCCCATAAAGCGGGGCTTCAGGTCACTGGCCTACTTCATCGAGGACAATTGGAAACGGATTTGGGTTATAGCACTCTGGTTTTCCATTTGCGCTGCACTTTTCACTTGGAAGTTCATCCAGTACAAAAACCGTGCCGTGTTCCACATCATGGGCTATTGTGTTACAACAGCCAAGGGTGCCGCTGAGACACTCAAGTTCAACATGGCTTTAATCTTATTACCTGTTTGCAGAAACACCATCACTTGGCTCAGGAGCAAAACCAAGTTAGGCATGGCGGTTCCCTTTGATGACAATCTCAACTTTCACAAGGTGATAGCTTTCGGCATTGCAATTGGTGTTGGGCTGCATGCTATTTCCCATTTAACCTGCGACTTTCCGAGGATGTTACACGCAACAGACGAGGAATATGTGCCCATGGTGCCGTATTTCGGGCGTGAGAGGCCCAACAATTATTGGTGGTTCGTGAAAGGGACCGAGGGTTGGACCGGGATAACCATGGTGGTTCTTATGGCTATAGCCTACACTTTGGCTTTACCTTGGTTCCGACGAAACAGATTAAACCTTCCCAAATTTCTAAAGAAGCTCACTGGTTTCAACGCGTTTTGGTACTCCCATCACCTCTTCGTCATCGTCTATGCGCTTTTCATCGTTCACGGATATTACCTATACCTCTCCAAGGACTGGTACAAGAAAACGGTATGCATGCATGCACTACTCTATATATATATATATATATCCCCGTTTCCCTTTTTCTTTTGCTTCGAATTTTCTTCTTGTTTTCTTAATTTTGTCACACAATATTTATTGGCACAGACTTGGATGTATCTTTGCGTTCCTGTGATTCTATACGCATGCGAACGACTACTTCGTGCTCTTAGGTCCGGCAACAAAAGTGTCAAGATTTTAAAGGTACGTTATAATTCTCAATAATTTACCTTTCTCTATATTAATTGATATTAATTTTTCATTTTAACTATTAATGGCATACATAATGAATTTGCTAAATTTTTAACGCTCTTCTTCGAAAAAAATTCAGGTTGCGGTGTACCCAGGAAATGTATTGGCTTTGCATGTGTCTAAACCACCGGGATTTAAGTACTCTAGTGGACAGTATATTTTCGTTAACTGCTCAGATGTCTCTCCATTTCAATGGTATAATTAAGTGAATTAAAGCTCAAAATTCCTGTTCTTATTATTGTTATTTTACTCATGAGTCATTACTATTAAAATGTATGAGGAGGGTTTCAGCAAAATTAATAATTTTGTCTTATGGAAACCATAGGCATCCCTTTTCTATTACATCAGCTCCGGGAGATGACTACGTAAGTGTTCACATTCGTTCTGCGGGTGACTGGACAACACAGCTGAAGGCCGTTTTTGCCAAGGTAAGAAGAGACAAACCGCTTTTCTTTATTTGGAGAATACACTAATGTTATAAGCTCTAGTACTCTACATATTTCCTCATATATATATCTTCATGACATAAATGCTTACTTATTACTCCATCTATATACATGATTATTAATGCAGGCATGTCAGCCAGCAAGTGGTGACCAAAGTGGTCTTCTACGTGCTGATATGTTACAAGGCAACAATATACCAAAGTAAGCTATCTTTGATGTCGTTTTAAGGATGTAACTAACTAAGGGTTTAAGTGATTAAGAACTAGAGCCAGTGATTTTATTATTAAAATTATATATAACACAAAAAAATTGAAATTAATTGCAGGATGCCAAAGCTCTTGATTGATGGTCCTTATGGAGCTCCAGCACAAGATTACAAAAATTACGAAGTAATCCTTCTTGTGGGCCTAGGAATTGGTGCCACCCCTTTGATTAGTATACTCAAAGACGTACTAAACAACATTAAACAACAGAAAGACATAGAAGAAGGAGTGGTAGAGAGTGGAGTTAAGAACAACAAGAGAAAACCTTTTGCCACCAACAGAGCATATTTCTATTGGGTTACTCGTGAGCAAGGTTCCTTTGAATGGTTTAAGGGTGTGATGGATGAGGTTGCTGAGAATGACAAGAATGGAGTAATCGAGCTTCATAACTATTGCACGAGTGTGTATGAGGAAGGAGATGCTCGATCGGCTTTGATCACAATGCTTCAGTCCCTCCACCATGCCAAAAATGGTGTGGATATAGTTTCAGGGACAAGGGTCAAGACACATTTTGCTAGACCAAATTGGCGCAGTGTCTTTAAACATGCAGCCCTCAAACATCCTGGCAAAACAGTTGGTAAGTATTTTCATTTTGCTTTTAATTTAATTGTCCAAATTCATATACCATCATATCTTGCTTAGCTCATGTTCAATTTATTCAATGATTTTCAGGTGTTTTTTACTGTGGGGCACCCGGATTGGTTGGGGAACTTAAAAAACATTCTCTGGAGTTTTCCAGGAAAACCAACACCAAGTTCGATTTTCATAAAGAGAACTTTTAGATTCTTCTCTCATATAGTTCGTTATTTTTTTCCAACAGTAACGTATACAGTTAAGGGAAATATAGTTAGTTATATATATATATAGTTGCTGCTTTTTTGTTCTATAGGTAGATGAGCAGCTAGCTGCATTTGATTTATATAATTGTATACATGTAAAAAAGAACTGTATTCACTTTGATGTAAAGTGAAGTCATGATGTTGTTAGCTTTCATACCATCAAAGATCTTAATCATCAAATTAACGATGAATGATAATGATTGCAACCTGCAACAAACTGTTTAATTTATTCAAATTAATAACATATTTTACCCAAAAGAAAAATGAATTTACAGCACATAACTACACATTGTAATTTAATTATTTAGGCTGTTACATTATCATCCAGAATACGTGGAAGATTCAAGTTATTAGGGATATCATATTAAATAAATACGCGTATTTTGATATGCAATTCTCATTTTATCCTTCATTTTCTTTTTCTGTTATGTTACTAAATACACTCTTAATTCACATAATATTAAGGGACCAATGCTAATTAATTTGCAGTCATGCAATCACTAGGGCAGAAGTTTTTAACCAAATTAATTGGAAAAATAAAAGAAATAAAGAAAACCACCACAGTATTGCTGCCGCTACCTGGCATCCGATGGTGATAAAAAGTTGTAGGACTCACGTACGAGCGAAAGATTGTCAAGAATTCAAGTTGAGTGATAAAAAATCTCACAAAGAGAAAAAATGAACTAAGCATACATATATAAGTGAAAGGACACATAAATTTAATGTCTCAAAATTTTTATTTAAGATGTGATATGATATCCCTTTATTGCTTAAACTCATTTAATTATAAGTACGTACGTAGATGATAATCTCCACTGCGAGCTGGTCTAACAATTGCGTAACAATAACACATTTTTTTTGCGCAGTTTGTGCTGGAATACATCTACTAAAACATCACAATATCAGCTGGAGTTTCCTAACATATACAAATTGCCATGTTCCAAACACTTTGACTGAAAGAGACTGACATTAATTAGATAGGGGCCCAATTTGCTGCATGTATTACTGCAATTCCTATTAATTCTTTTGATAAATATCAATTTGTGTCCGAAATTCTAAACGATCCTAATACTTCATTGAGTATCACTAAACCAAGAGTATTGGATTTCTTATTAAAATTAGATCGTATTGGCCGGCCGTTCGATGGGTTTAACTGGTATCAAATCAATACAGGTTTTAAGTTGAGCCAATTTTTAAAATTTTATGTAAAATATTCACAAAATTTTAAATTTTAAATTTTTTAAATATAAATAAAAAATATTTACTCAAAATGATTGCTAGTTTTAGGGGTGGCAAAACGGGTCGGCCCGCCGCCAACCCGCCAAAAGTGGGTTGGCCCGCCCCGCCCCGCTTCTTTAATTTGGGTTGAAATCCCCAACCCGCCTCGTTTTATGGTGGATTGGCTGGTTGGCGGGTCAACTCGTTTAAAAAATAAAAAATAATTAAAAATAAAAATAAATTATATTTTATTAATATTATAATATTACTTATTTTCATACCACATTCTTCTTAGTTTTTTTTTTAATCTTAAGTCTAAATGTATGCTAATATTTAGTCAGATATTCTTTACAAACTTATTTTTATCTCTATACATAAATTACATTTGTCATAAATAAAGTTTTTCTTCTATATTTTTTTTAGAGAGTACTAAGATAACAAAGAATTGGATATCACAAAAGCTTAAAAAAAAATAAAACACTACCTAATAGTAAAAAAAATAAAATAATTGACCCGCCGAGCCAACCCGACCCGCCGCCAACCCGTTTTGACCCACAACCCAACGGGGTGGGTTGAGACGGGTTAGTGGGTTGAAATATGTAACCCAACCCGCCCCATTTTGGCGGGTTGACCCGTCAGGTTCAACCTATATTGCCACCTCTAGCTAGTTTAACTTGCAAGGCTGTGATACTTTCTTCCGTACTAAATAGATGCTGTGGTATAAATTTAAACAACAAAATCTTTCAGGAAAATGTTATATTTACAACCTATTTTCGTTTACAACCTCTTACAACCATATCTTAACCGTTACTTTCTACCAATCAACGGTTATCATTTATTGTGAACTAATAATTAATTAATAAATTTGATTTGCGAAAATCTTAATCGTTGATTGACGGAAATCAACGGTTAAGATATGATTGTAAGATGTTGTAATTAAACGAAAATAAGTTGTAAGTATAATATTCCCCAGTCCTATAATGTACGAGAAAATATATTTTAATTGCAGCCCCGCATCTATAAAGTTGTATCTCTTTATATAAAATATAAATATTCAATAGACTTTAAATTTATAATATTTTGAATGCAAAATGCAGTCTTAAAACTTCGAAATTGAGGACTAAAATATGAATTTAATGTCTATAAATTATTAATATTGAAATAATGAGATTAATTATTATTAAGTTATTTTTTATATGTTTAATTAAGTTAATTTTTATGCTTTTTTGTTTTAGATAATTAGAAAGATGTTGAGCTACAAATATCAAGATAAAATCTCAATTAGAAGATTTGGCATCTGAGCGCCCAAAAGTAAAGTTCAATCCTAATTCCTAAGCATTGATATCTTTATAAATATTACCTTTATGACTTTCTAAGGGAGCTTTTGACAAGGGGAGATCAAGTTGAGATTCGTCGAGATTCACCACGCCCTCATTGCAATGGAGTTTTGGAAAGCCTCTATGATTCCTTTTGTCTTTGTTTTCGCTATGCGTAACTAATTTTCTTTGCAATTAGGGTTAGATGGAACTTAACTGAATCTTTATGTTTCTGAAAAATCTTTAATGCAATTTTTCCTTTTTATTGAATGAATTTACTTGGTACTTCGTGCTTCTAATAGTCAATTTTCTTGTAGACAGATCTAAGGTTCATGTATGTTGTAAAAGACAATGGGTGAAAATCACCAATAGATTTGAATCTGTGTATGATACCGGCTATATTAATTAATGGTATAAGCAGAGTGCAATAAAAAAAATGAACTAACTTGATCAGAAGCAGAAGTATGCAGAATAATGATGATGAATCCAAGCCCAACAAAAGTTATCTCCTTAAGACAATTTGTTCCCTCACTAATGTGTCGAAGGTTGATGAACACTTGTTGTAACATCCCGAGTGCTGACAATTGTTTGGTTAGTGGAAGAGCTAATGTACAATTGAATGTATGGTTAGTGGAAGAGCTAGCGTACTATCAGCGGGAGGGGTACATGAATGAATCAAATAACACTGGAAATAGAGGGATTCCAGAGATTGTGCTGGTATAGGACAGCACAACTGAGGATAGCTTATAAGAGTTCATTGGTACTACCTATACTAACAAGATGCATCTACTTTTCGGTAGCCCGGATCGGAAGAACTCCACAGTTAAGCGTGCTTGACTTGGAGCAATTCAAGGATGGGTGACCTCTTGGGAAGTTTTCCCGGGAAGTGTGCGAGTGAGGACAAAGCACGCTGAAAAGTCTCGTGTTAGTGTGTGGGGATAGTTGTTGATGCTTGCAAGTGGCCAGGCGTTACAAGTGGTATCAGAGCAGGGCCTTTCATCCAATACGGTGTGGTTCGAGGACGAACTAGGCGGAATCTGGTGGGCATGTAACATCCTGAGTGCTGACAATTGTATGGTTAGTGGAAGAGCTAATGTACAATTGAATGTATGGTTAGTGGAAGAGCTAGCGTACTATCAGCGGGAGGGGTACATGAATGAATCGAATAACACCGGAAAGAGAGGGATTCGAGAGATTATCCTGGTATAGGATAGCACAGCTGAGGATAGCTTATAAGAATTAATTGGTACTATCTATACTAACAAGATGCATCTACTTTTCGATAGCCCGGATCGGAAGAACTCCACAGTTAAGCGTGCTTGACTTGGAGCAATTCAAGGATGGGTGACCTCTTGGAAAGTTTTCCCGGGAAGTGTGCGAGTGAAGACAAAGCACGTTGAAAAGTCTCATGTTAGTGTGTGGGGATAGTCGTTGATGCTTGCAAGTGGCCGAGCGTTACACTTGTCTTCCAGGATAGAACGGATTTGCGTCTCAAGAATGAAGGAAACAATCAATCAAGAGCCAAAACGAACACAACTGGATGCTGAGGAATCACACCATGTACTGTATGAATGCATGCATGCACGGACGAAGTAAAAATCCGGCAGAGTAACGATGCAAAAATCTAGATAAATTTTTTACGGTGGAAACGACTTTATAGAGACTCCGATAATGAACAATGAACTGTCGCCGGCGAATTGACGCAATTGACGGTGACGAACTATCCCAATCGATAACTGGTTCGGTTGAAATTTAACCAAACGCATCCGTTCAGTTCAGAATTTGGCGAAGAATAATGTTTTTATTTGAATTTGAGGGAAGCAAAGGTAGAAAAATAATAATAAAATAATTTAATAAAAAATTATTTTATACTCGCGACCGAGCCGACAGTCGGCGGCGCGCGCTCACATTCGCGCTTGTGGTTGACCAATGCCCACCTAAGTCCTCTCTCCTCTACAAAATATGGATTGCCCCAAGGGAAAATCTAGAAGTGTAAGGTGACAGCTTATAAATCTTTCCACCTCTTACTAGTTGTCCAATGTGGGACTTCTTAGTTTATAACCCACGCATACCCTTTTATATTCCCTTATTTTTCTTTTCTTCTAAACCACTTCTTATTCATAACCCATGGACTCAAATACTTCTTCTAAAGTAACCGAATACTTTTTGTCGTGAAGAAGTATTCGAATATCTGATGAACAGTAATCAAATACTTTCTGGGTTTGCAAAAGTATGCAAATACGGCCCGAAAAGTAATCGGACACTTTCATTTATGAGTGATTTAAACTCGAAGAAATTCAAATATTTTCATGTCCAACGACTATAATTTTTTATTAACTCATTGGGCACCTATAAATCATATCATTAGGGTTCTGAACACAAGAATTAACACCAAAAAATTAGAATCAGAAAAATCTCATAATTGCATCTATATTGGCTTAGTTTACCACATCCTTGAGAAAATTCTCAATTACTCTCGCGTTTCTCAATCTTTTTTTGTTCTTTCTGTTTGTACTGGGTGTGGAGAGATTGCTCTACATCTGTTTGGCAAAAGTTAATTATTGTATTGATTTTGGTGAATTAACCCTATAGGTGATAGGTTGAGCGCGATCAACGGTGTTGATCATAGACTTGTAAAAACTCTTTGTAAATCGATTTTTATATCACCGGTTGGAAGATGGAAGATAGTGAAAATGATCGACTTTAGTCTGGACGTAGCTCTCAAGTGGTTAGAGAGTGAACCAGAATATATCATGGTGTGATTCTTCCTTACCCTATCTTTTCTAATTTCTATCAATTAATTTAATTTTTTATTCTTTGTATATGTTATTGTGAATCTGTGTAAGGGTTGGGAATCATTAGTTTCATGTTTAAATTCGTTTTTGCATGATTTCTTGAAAGGGATAGCCTTAAACATTGAAATTCTAGTCTTTTTCATTCAATTTTGATCCGCTGGAAATTGCCTCTGAATTGATGTTATTTGGAATGTTTTAATTCTGTTTTGAATTGTCAAAAAGGTTTATGATCTTCAAATTTTGTTTTGGTTGAAGTTGTGTGGAAAAGTATTGATTTTTGAATTGTTTCTTGAATTAGAAGTAACACATAATTCACCCCTTGTGTAATTGTTTAGCCATATTTTCTTTTCAAAGATAACGTATGTTATCCCTATATCTTTCATGTCAAATTTACTTTTAAATAATTTCTTAGTAGCTTTAATCATTTTATTATTGCTCCCCATTATCAACATGTTAATCATTCTCGTCATTCTCTTCCTTTCTTCTCCTCCTCGTTGTTCCTTGGATAACTTTTATCAGGGTTTCATCCCTGGTTCTTTGCTGCTCAAGAAATTGGCAAGTTTGTCAATTGATTTCCAACCATTGATTCAGTTTTCCACTTACCTGGGCTTCTTGAATAAGGGTGTGAGGAAATGCTCCATATGATGCGGCCTAAGGTAAGGAACGAAACACAGTTTCGTCCTCAGGACTAGGAGAATGTTTAGGAGTACCTAGGTTGATCACCTTAGGCATTTTTACCTTGCTCTTCTTTGGCGGGTTAAGGTCAATGGCCTTACCCTTCCTCTTCCTATCCTTTGAGGCTTGGTCTTCATCAGCTTGCCCTTACCCTTCCTATTCTTGATAGGGTTGTTCCGGCTTTTTATCACCTTCTTATAGGAAATTCCAGGTGCTGAAATTAATAGGGAGTCCGAAAAATTTCATATCATTCTTTGGTAGAAAGGCAAGACCAACAGCTTTACAACATCGAGAGATGAAGCCATGGAAGGAGAAATAGCTCCTCTGGATTTGATTTTCAAAATTTTAGTGAATGAGGAGGGTGGGATTGAAAGGTCGTATTTTCATGATGCATGAAAGCTTAATGAGATATAATCGGACTTGAGGATTGAGATATCCTCTCGGCAAGCTTCCATTGACGAGCGAGGTGCGTGGAAATGCAAGAGTTTCCACTACCTCTTTCTTAAAGGGAGTATCACCCTTGGCTGGCACCAATTGTTGGTAGGTGCAATTCGTGACATTGGGGAGAGAATAGATAAGTTGCAGGGATCCCTGATAGATGGATATTTTCCTTTCCTGAAAGACGACGAACTCTTCATTAGTTTGTCTAGTGTGGAATAAGAATACTGTGCAAAAGTTGGTGTCCCCCTCTATTTTGAAAGCGACAAATTGTTCCCATTTGTGGTAGGCAAGGGTTTGATCTACCTAAGGTGGGAATTTGTCTTCCTTAGACCCAAAGTCTATGTATTTCTCAAGAAATTCAACTTGACTGCCATTGTTTAGAGGTTGGACGATGTAGTTCCTTGTGAAGGCAACAAAGAGGTTACGACGAGACATTTTCAGCATGGATCAAAAATATGGAAGGTAAAGAAGAGGTGAGAACTTTTCGACCTTGAGAACTTAAGGTCAACAGGGTTTTTGTATTAAAGGTTAGGGCACAATAGGGTCTTTGTGAGAGGTGAATTCGTAAAGGGAGCAATGAGAGGGTTAAATAGAAGAAGAAGTGAAATGTGGTGATTAAGGGTGAACGGTTGACAACGAATGGGTCCTGGGGATGAATAGCAAACATTTGGTTAAATTGGGAGTGAAGATGGTGAAGCATGGTGGTCATGTTTGTTGGCGGAGAGAGAGATGGGGTTTTTTCTACAAAAATTCCTGGTACCAAACGTCCCCTAAGTTAATTGTCGATTGTTTCATTTTTTTTATTTGGATAAAATACAAGTATCGTCCACGGGAGACAATTTTATTCAAGTAGTGTTGGATCCTCTCACAGTCTATCAAGGAAAACACATTCGATTCCAAGATTATGACTTTTGGTCTTTTTTACAATCGGTCAGGGAAACACATTCATTTCCTATAATGAAGACCACCTAGTGCAAGTGTACGCATCAAGTACTAAAGGGGAGTGTTTAAGTCCCAGATTATCGTTCCTTCCGAGAAAGTATGCTAAATGATATTTTAAGTTATGTTAAAGAATGAAAAGAATAAGTTATCAGTATTGAACTGTTCTGGTGGACGTTCCCAAGTATTTCAAGGCTATTCCCTTGTGTCAAATGGTTTAATTTAACTTCAAACAATTCCTTGCGTCGTTATATACTCAAGTCCTTCCTAATTCAATGAGGTACGACAAATAATAGGAATCAATTATTTTGGAATGGTGCAATGTGAAACGAAGTAAAATGTAGTAAAATAAAATGAGCAATAGCAAGGAACGACTCATGTGGTATGTTAAGCAAAACAATAATAAAGGAAAACAAATGGATACACTAGGCCACTGTTAAATCAACTGTAATCTAGGCTCGAGACCCTGTCCAAAGGATTTGTTCAGATCTCTTTAATGCCAACTCTGATTTCTCAGCTCATGGGCTACATGGTATGTAAAGCCCTATATTTCTACGGCGGCAACGTTCCCAACAATGACTCCGTAAAAGACCTTTGGTGAACGAGGTGGTCCCTTATTACTAAGGCAAGCAGTGAAAGTGTTTTCACACTCTTCAACTTCCTCCTATCGTTCGGCTATTTGAAATCCCTTTCCTTTGGAAGTTCCTTTCTCAGTCATGTTCAAGGTATGTTGATATAATATATTAAAACACTTAAACAAAAGAAATCTAGAAGATTCAATTATAGAGATTTAATAGTTTCATAGCTTTTCCATTCTAAAAAGAAGTTAGCACATGTTCAAAGACATGGTTGATGGTGGCAGTGGCGTGGTGATGGTGACAGCAATGGTGGTAATGATGATGATGACGACGGTGATGGTAGTGGTGGAGACAACGGTGGTGGCACGACGACGGCACCGAAGATGGTGGCGGTGATGATGATGGTAGTGATGGAGAGTGATTAAAAGAGACAAATGTTTCTCATTTTGTGTCAGGGAACAAAAAGTCGAATTTTTTTTATTCTTTTTTTTTGCTTCCCAGCACAAAAATTAAACCGATTAATACTGGGAATAAAAAAATAAATCAATTTTATCAAATGTTGTTTCTATCCATTTCTTTTCTTGAGAACAAAAATAAAAATAAAAAATAAAAAATTCTCGATGGTTGTCATGTACCTCCTAAATAACAGAATCGAATTTTATATTTTAGTATGCTCACTAAATTAACTTACTCTAATAGATATATAATTATTTTTTTATTTAATAAATACACAATTTACTCGAACAAGGTACTTTTCATGAAAGATTCTTTTTTATGCCAAATTCTTAGATTAAAGCCTTGGTTCTTTGCTTTTTAAGCATTCTCACCAGTTCAGAGCACCCTTTCACCCTCCTCTCTTTCTAAAACAGAATTATAGCATCCGTAGTTTCTGTTTACAGAATGGCTGCACCAGAAACAATAGCCGATGCTAACGAACCAGACCAGTTGCAACCTCTCATGTGCAAGGTAAAGCATTGTTCTGCTCTTTATCTATCATTTATCTGTTTACTAAATCTTGAGTTCAACAGGTTCTAATCCTCTTAAGCCTCTGTTTATCAGAGCTGTGTTTTGAAAGTCTCCATTCATTGTCAAGGCTGCACAAGGAAAGTTAAAAAAGTTCTTCAGAGTATAGATGGTAATGATATATATTTCAAACCTAACATCGTTCTTCACTTCTTTTTTTTCTTAATATATATTTGTAGGCTGCTAGTTATATTTTCAGTTATTGTTTTCCATCAGATTCCATGATTGTCTTAACACTGTCATTAATTACTCGTTAAATTAGGTGTTTATGACACACAAATTGATTTGAGGCAACAAAAGGTAGTAGTAATGGGGAACATTGACAGCGCTACTCTGATTAAGAAATTGTCAAAGACAGGGATACGAGCAGAGTTGTGGCCTGAACAAGCTGATTTGAAGAAGAAAAAGAAAAAGAAGAAGAAAAAGAAGAAGAAGAAAGGAAAATCAGAGAACACAGAGAAACAGAGCGACCGAGAAAGCAGTGAAGAAAGCAACCATAGCGATGACGACGAAAAAGAAGCTACTAAAGTTGTAATTCAAGACACAGCCAAAAATGCCGAAGGTGCGGTTAACGTTAACAAAGTTAGTGAAGGATTTCCGACCGGTAAAGGCAGTGTACAATTCCAAGAACCAAAGCCAGAAGTGAGACAAATCGTGACGTTACCGTCCGGTAACCCGGCAACGGTGATTGAGAAAAAGGTTTGCATCGCCGTCCAAGACAATGATGATAATGGAGGAGCGAACGAGAACATCAACGGTGGCAAAAAGAAGAAAAGTAAGGGGCAAAAAGGGAATAACAATAACGAGGGTGTTACGATTGAACTCTCCGGTGATTGTAACCAAATGCACGGTCATAACCATGGTCCGGGTCCTGGATCAGTTCCAATTTTGGTCCCATCCAATGAGAGTCCTCCACGTCATCAGTACCCACCATATTACAATGCACCAGCACCTCCGGTGTATACTGGGAGTTATCACACACCAACAGCATATCCCACTACTACCAGCCGCTACGGTGCATCGTATTATACCTCCCAACGACCGTATTCGTACGCTCACGTGCATCAAGGTGGTGGGTCCGACTCGGAACCTTATACATCACAACCGTTAAATTCGTTTGAATTGTTCAGCGATGAAAACCCGAATGCCTGTTCAGTCATGTGAAAGATACCGGCTGAATTTAACCGCCGTAACTAGCTTTTGTAATTGGATGGTTAGTTGGTATGAGCTCAATATTGTTACAATAGCTTAGTGTTAATCTCTGGTGCTTTATTGTATGTAAAATAAAAAACATGCATCAGGTGTATCAGTTTCATTCAGAATCAAGCATTTCGTCTTTCTCTAGCAAAATCTCAAATCTTATTAAGAGAGGTATTGCTCAGAAATCAGAACGATTCCATCTAACGGCTTTTGGAAATTCACCAAAAGCTTGTATAAGTACTACTCGTATGAACATGGAGTAATCTTTGATTTTTGTTGCATGGAGATATAATAGGAATATGAATCATTAGAGTCAAGGGGGAGAAAGTGTTTTCTTATAAATTTGTTTTTAATTTTTTGTATTTTTAGCATTTTAAGAAAGCATTAAAACATTTTTTTTAAAAAAAATCTATCCATTTATTATATTCTCTTAGATACGCTTTCTAAAAAAAATAAAATTAAACAAATGGGTCCAAAATTAAAATATCTTAGCAAGGAATAAAATGACCAATGAATTTATTAGGCACACAGTGGTTATACTGTTATATTATATTCACCCACAGTCCCGCAAATCATTATCCACATCCCTCTTTTGACGAATTTTTTAAATCAGAATTAGATTCCGCTAAGAAAAATCGCAATTAGATTAAAATTACCGAAGTCTGAAACCACTCATACATTCTTTAAATCTCTGAAAAAGCTCTTTATGGCTTTGATTCCCCTATCAAGTGGAAGCTTTTTGGACATTCCCATATTACTTTTTAGCCTCACAGAATTTATGCAAAGTTATTGTTATCTTTCCCGAGAAGAGATCTTGTACATGAAGGAATAGAGTTTTATAAGGTAATCAAAAGGAAAAATTTAAATTGACTGAGCAGTTGCTTACCTTAAGCAAAATTTAATTTCATCTTAGAGGTCCAACAGATTGACCAGCATTTCCTTATACTTTAAGTTGCTGCCATTAAATCACGTTTAACGAAACTACAATAGGTTATATGTTAAGAGTGGTTGCTAATCTCTGTAGCTTAATGTGACTTGCATCATCACAAATTCACAATCACATGCAGAAGAGATTGTGAAACTTAAAGGAAGAACTAGTAACATCTTAATGGTAGAATTCAGCTAATCACAATCCACTCTCTATACATCCCTAGTTTCTTATTCTCCCGATCATGATCAATTCTGAGGAACCTGATTACTTCTATATTCTATCCGGTTCCAGTCCAACTTATCTAAATCTCGCAGCTGCATTGACACGTTGAAGTTTGCTGATATAATTCGTTGACTTCAATTTTAATTGTCAGCGTGCTTTATCTTCTCAGTTCTATACAATCATTTTCATAAAAATATATGTAGTAATTTTATTAGTTTTTGAAAAGAGTTTTTTATATCTCAACATAATACTTTAAGAATAATTAAGGCAACTAATTAAGATCATGACTGGTTTAGACATGGGTCTCAATTTGGGAGACTAATCCGCAATGGTGGATTCATGATTTAATTTTAACTAGGTCAAAAAATTTGACATATCAAATTATCAAAATATTTATTGTAATTATACAAATCTATTAGGAAAAAAAATTACCATGAATTCTAGCATACTTATCTAAATTATTTACTAAATAATGTCACAAAACATTGAAAAATCAAATACCAGAGCTATTACGAAATTTTGATAAATAAGTTATTGTGATAAATAATTAAGTCATAACTCATAAATGCAATATCAAAAAATAAAAAAATAAACCTGGTGAAGCCGTGACTAGGGATGTAAATGAGTCAGACGACCTATCAGGGGCCTATAGCCGACTATACCTTAGGTCTGACTTGGCCTGCTCTATTTTTCAAATAGAGCAATTTTAGAATATTAGAAAAGTCTATTTAAAAATTATGACATAGGCCCACTTTAAAAAGTATGACCTAAAAAGCTGCAGGCTAACCTTTTAATTCTTTTAATAATATAAGATATTTATGATATATATTATTCACTTAAAGACATATTTTAAGATTATGATTTGTAACACTATTTTTTTCAAAGTAATATGATTCATGTTATTTTAACAAATAATAAATATTTATTTAAATTTAAAATATAATATAAAATTAAATTTTGATGTGATCTTTATGAATATTATTTCATGTGATGTTAATGAAAATTTATTTCATGTAATCTTTATGAATAAGAAAATTTATCTTTTATATTTCAATTTTGTTTGGCCCTATAAACTTTAGTTTGTAACTTGGTAGGACTTATATGCCATATTAGGTTTTTTTAGTTTTTTTATAATAGATCAGACCAGACCTAAAATCAAGTCTTTAATAGACTAATAGGCCAGTATAGGCTCTAAATGCTTTAATAGGCTTAGGCTTTCAAAGTCAAAATCTAGCCTAACCTGACCCATTTACTCCCCTAGTCGTGACCCGTGAATAACATCAACGTAGAGGGATAGACCAAACTTCACAATTAAAAAGAAACATGGAACAATCAGTGACAAATATCTAAAATCATTTAATCAATGGTTAGATATTTTAAAATTTTTAAAAATATAAAAAAATAAAGAAGTTATTAATTGGTATGTAGAAGAAATTTGCATACTCCATATATATACATATATCTTCATTGATTTTTCTCTTTAACAATTTTCACTGATAAATCGTCAAAATTCTCATTCCTGTTGTAAAATCAAATACAAATAACACAATAAACAATTCAATTATTTTACTAATAGCAACTCTAGCTCTACTTTAAATAATAATTAAAAAAAAGATAAACGTAAAAAAAACTCCATTTTTTCAAAAGAAATAAAATCATTAAATACAACCACACACAAAAAGTTGTAAATAAAAAAAAGGGCATGAATTTTACTCATGTTTGAAACACTCAATAAACAATTATGGTCAGCCAAGACAAAGAATTTATATTTTACAAGGTTAAAAAATGTAAATCATTTTTTCTCCCCACAGACAATATAATTATCAATGCTGATTCCACGAATATGTATCTGAAAAATCTTGAGAAAGGGACAAAATATCGTACCTTATAGTAGAATGGATAGGTTATGGGTGGTGAGTAGGGGTGGCAATATGGGTCAACCCGACACGACACGACACGACACGACACGACACGACACGACACGTTTTCGACCTGTACACTATTTGACACGACCCTGGCACGACCCGTTTTGTAAACGGGTCACAAAACACGAACCCTGACATGACCCGTTGCGGGTCAAGGGTCGACATGACACGATCCGCAAAATTTAGAATTTAAAAAAAGTGGGATTTTTTGAAAAATAAATAAATTAAAAATAATAAAAAAAAGAAAAAAAAAATTAGCTTCTGTTTCTTGAGATTTTTAGTTCCTTGTATTCTTTTCTATACTAAACAATGACTATATATATCAATAAATAAATGAATAAAAATAATAATATAATAAAATATTTAATTGAAAATTAAAAAAATGACACTGTGCGGGTTGACCCGCGAACCCGCGCGCGGGTTGACATGTGACCCGACACAAAAAAAACGGATCACATTTACACAATCCTGACACGACACGTGATTTGGCGGGTCGGGTCACGGGTCAACCCGCGGGTCAATACATGTATTGCCATCCCTAGTGGTGAGTGTGAATAAGAAAAAGAAAAAAGATAGAAGAAAATATTAATTGAAAAAAAATCAAAGAATAAGAAGAGGAAAACAATATGTTATTTGGTCACACACGCAAAGCGGCTCAAATTTTTTGTCTATTACCCCTGTTACCATTTTAATTAAGGCCAACTTACACTTTTAACTAGGACCCAATTATAATTACTTATATAATTATATACAATAAATAAAATTTATTGAAATATAGCTGAAACTTAAGCTTTACCTAAGTATAACGTGGCTAAGCGGACTCGAATCCACTTAAGACTACTGCGTACTAGCTTATTTAAAGCAAATAACTTTTTATTAGCTTAACTGTTTATTTTATCATATTATTTAAGATTAACCCATATTGATATCTCTAATTTTAGATCTGTAAGATTAATTTTAGAGTTTTATAAGAGTTATGTTGTAGGAAAAGTGATTGCGTCATGTTATAGAGATTCATTTTTCGTGTCTTAGTTTGTTTGTTTTTTTTTTTTGCTTCAACAAATATGAGTCCCCACAAAATGTTGTGTGTAAGAATTTTTTTTGGGTCATATTACATGATGAATGCAAACCCCTTAATTTTAAGAGAAATAATATTAACATGTAAGTTTAGAACATGGAAGTGAAATTAGATTAGTTTCAAAGTTCGAGTCAACAACTATTCTTGATAAACTGTTCAGGTAAAGTTGAGAGAGAGAAAATGTTTTCTTTGGCTCAAGACAAGACTAGGCAAATTATTAGGGAGTTCTTAAATAAAGTTATACCTTTTATTTTTTGTTAAGACATTTTCACATGTCCTAAGTAGGGGTGTAAATGGGTCAGGCTGGTCCAGCCCAGTGTACGGCCCGGCCTACATTGAGTCCGGCCCAGGCCTGGCCTTTTAGAAAAGTAAAGTAGACTTAGGCTTATAAAAAAACTTTTTTAACAAATAGGTCATAAGCCAATTTTATCAAGCCCGGCCTACAGCCTTGTAGGCTGGCCTATTTAATTTATTAAAATAAAATAGTAAAATAATATTAATTTTATGTGGCAAAGACGCAAAGTACCAAATACCAATCTCTCTTAATTTTTGTGCTATTTTATTTTATGAAAGGAAAACTTGTCTAATGTCTCCAAATTTTACATGCTGTAGCAGCTTAATACCATGGAGTAATGGGTACCTTGCTGGATTATGATGTTACTGATGAAGATCTTTCAATAATACTCTTCTTTCCCTTGTCTTGATGGTGGTTTAAAGATTTTTAGATAAATTACATTCTCTTGTAGACTTTATTTCAGCATCCGGTAATTGTATTTTTCTTATTTTATCAATTTCTTTGACTTTATTCCTCTATGATATACATTGTAGAGCTGGGGTATTATGTTGACTCTTTCTTGTTTGTCATTTTTTTCTTGTGAGAAGTACTAATGCATGCATGAATGGAACTTTCTTTGCTCTATATAATTTTTTTTTTTTTGCTCAGTATCTATAGTGGGAGGCCTACAAGGCCTGTAGGCCATGTCAGACTTTCTTATTTTTTAAAAATGGGCCGAGCTTGGCTTACAAATAAAGCCTTTAAAAGGCCAGTAGACCATATAGGTTGAATTTTTTTTGACGTAGGCTTGGGCCAAAAAGGCCAAAGCCCAGCTCAGCCCATTTACACCCCTAGTCCTAAGTAGCAATAATTATTGCAAAATATTACACTCATTTTATATTAGATATCTCATGTTCCTTCACTTGCAAAATCTCTTCTTCTTTTTTAATGATAAATCTTACGTTCATTCTATCTATAAAGAGAATTATTCTCGTAGTAGTATTCTCCATAATTATTACATGAAATAATGGATTATGGATATCAAATATCCCAAAAAGTAAAAAATAAAAATTGAGCCGTCTTTCATTCCACATTATATATATAGGAATAAGGTTTTATTAGTATCATGTTACATAACTTAAGAAAATTTTCCTACACATACAATTAAAATGTGAGGTTCACATGTTTTTTTTTCTTTCATCATTCCACTTTCTCTCTCTTTTTTATTGTGAGGGTAGGAAAATTTTCTTATATCATGTTACATTATTCTCATAAAACCCGAAGGAATAACATATGTCCTTTTAAAAGATATAAACTTACATCATTTTAGATCTTAACCGTTGATTTCCGTCCATCAACGGTTATAATTTATTGGATTAAAATTATTTAATTAATAATAAATTTGACCCATAAAGTTTGGCCCAATAGATTATAACCGTTGATGAACGAAAATCAACGATTAAGATCTAAAAAGATATAAATTTATATCCTTTAAAATAATAGATGTTTTTCCTATATAAAAATAATAATAATGGAGTCCTAGTTTTGTATATATATTTCCTTCCCGCCAAGGCGCGAACCCTAAATTCGAGCATTGGGCAGTGTTTTTTTGTGAGAGAGCGAGATCAAAGAATGGAATTGACGTTGAGCGATAACTCTCTGAAAACCTTTGCGCGATGCATCACTTGTCTCGCGCGTATCGGAAATGAGCTCGCAATTCAGGCCTCTCCCTCTCAGGTTACATTACATGCCTCATTCTCTTCCCTCTCCGTTTTTCACAATTTCTCACTTCAAGCAAAATTTATATTTAATGATTACTCTTCAGAGCTACTGAAGTTACGTTTTGATTATGGTACCACTTTACTCATTTGATATTATCTTTATTTCTCAATTTTTGCTCTCTGGTGAAGATCTTTACTTCTCATTACATTTGAGTTAGGGTTTTGACTTTTGCGGGTATAATTATTACTTTAGATCAAGCTAGAGAATGTTGATTGTTGAATAGTAATACATTACTTATTTGGGTTCTTTGATTTGTTACAGCTTCTTTTCCACACTATTAATTCATCACGGTCTGCGTATCAATCCCTCACTTTCAAACCTGGCTTCTTTGACGTCTATACAGTTTCGAGTAGCCCCGTGCAATGTAGTGTGCTTCTGAAGGTGCGAAGGGTCTTTTCTCATTTTAGCTTAAATGGGGTTCGAAAATGAAGAATTCTCACTCACATACTTTGATTAGGCTGTTTGTTCTGTTCTTAGGACACCTATTACAAATATCGATCATTTGACTGTGAAATTGCCTGATCCGGATGCTCCCAAAGTGCAGTGGATTTTGGATTGCTACAGTGGTAAACTGCTTATTTAATATATACAAAATCTCTGGTGATTGCTCAATAAGGAAAAAGCTATAGTACCAGCATTGCTATTGGGTTTAATTTGGTTTACCGTTGGAGACTAAGCTTTTACTTGTCTTTTGTAACAAGCTTAATAATGTAGTTGGTTTCTGAATTAAAATTAGCTACACTTTCCGCTTGGTAATTGTTATGGTATCGAACCTGCTTTTAGAGACTACGACATGGCATTTTTAGTGGACTAAGTGTTAACATTTAATGTAAGCTCAGCCTTGTCTGACAAGTCAGCTACATCCAACAATTTGGTGAGCAGTCTTGGGGTTTGTTACAGGCCATGACTAAATTTAACTCAATTCGACAATTTTGAAATGTGTCACAATGAAAGTTTTAAAATTGTATAGCATCAAATCTTTCTTAAAATGAACAGGGTGTGGTAATTTTCATCCTTCTCTGGACTTGAATGTCTATTAATTATTGGGTGTACTATGTACATGGTGCCAGGCATCTCATCAGCTATGCTGCTATTTTCTGATATATGTGTGTGTGTGTGTTTGACCCTATCACGGATTAAAAACGTTATGTTATTTATTAACTGCAGGTATGAGAAAAACCTATTGGATTACTTGCAATGTAGAACCTGACATACAACACTTGTCCCTTGATAGGCAAAAATTTCCAAGCAACTTTGTCGTGAGGCCTCGAGATCTGAACAGGTTACTTGCTAATTTTCAGTCGTCTCTTCAAGAGATCACTATCATTGCAACAGAACCTAATTCTCTACCTCTTGATGCTGAAAACGAAATTGGTGGAAAGGCTGTTGAGTTTCGAAGTTATATTGACCCAACCAAAGGTAAAAAAATGCTTTTGTCGATAGTTTTGTTGCAAACAGTATATTTATGCTCAAAGATTTCATGGCAGACAATGACTCATTGCTACACACCCAACTGTGGATAGATCCTCGAGAGGAATTTTTGCAGTATGTTCATACTGGAGACCCAATAGACGTGACTTTCAGTGTAAAAGAACTGAAGGTATAGTAAGCCAAGGCTGCCACGCCTTTTGTTTTTTGTTGACAAAAGTTTAGCAACTGTTGACAGAGACTGTAGTCACCTGATATCTGGATTTATCATGTTTTCTTCCATAATTTCTGTTTCCTTTCTCTGTTCTAACTTCTAAGGCTAATTTACCTTAATGAAATGCAAATTATTATTTTTTTCCTCATCAAACTGCAGGCATTTCTTTCGTTTTGTGAGGGCTGTGAAGTTGACTTCCATTTACATTTTGAGAAATCTGGCGAGTAAGATGTATTTAGTATCTGATACAATTTATCCTCATTATCCTCATCCTCTAAAGAAAAAATTGTATGATTGATGGTTTCAAGTTTCCCATAAATATGACTGGATACCTTCCATTTTATGTTATAAGTAATGCTTATTAGTCACTAGTCAGTGTACATGTAATAGTCTAGTGAACTCTAAAATAGAATTGAGGAAATGTGAAAGTTGCAATTCTGTATTAGATTTTACCGTGGACAAACATTCCCCCCCCCCCCCCCCCCCACAACACACACACACACACATATATTGAAAGATAAAGATCTATTTTTCTTGCATTGCATATTTTATGGTAGTATTTGATGGTTATGATATGTTATTAATCTTAATTCTTGGATGATATTGTGTTTGGCATGCAGACCTATTCTCATGGCACCTAAATTTGGTTTGGAAGATGGAACTCACTCAATTTTTGATGCTACCCTTGTATTGGCAACCATGTTAATATCTCAGCTTCATGAAGGTACTGCTGCAGAACCTCCACCGGTGGCTACCAGAACAAATGCTGAAACGGAAGAAAGAAATGGAAATTACGTGCAGCAAGAGAACTGCAGAACGAATGCATCAGAGCTTCCATCTGATCACACCCGTATTTGGTCGGATCTCTCAGGTATTTTCAATTTCGAGTTGGATAATATGTTATTGATCTAAATTCTCATTAGCTTTTCCATTTTGCAGCAAGTGCAGTTAAAAATATTAATGCTTTTGAAGAAAGGCATGCACAAGGAGGAACTATTTTGAATGATAATGAGCAAAGAGATATTCAAAGGATTAGTACAATACATATTTCAAAAGTAACATCGGTTGCAGGAAATAATCCCATTGATTCCAATTTGTATCCTTGATGTGTTACTGTTTGCTTCAATATGTTAGCATTTTCAGCATCACAATTTAATGTCCCCACAATGTTGTGTTCACAAATGTGACAAATGATTCATTTCTTACCATCCATTATCTTGTCAAACTCTCATAGAGCACTTACAAAGTATTGGATGCTCAAACTGGAACCTAGGAATGAAGCCTTTTATATATAGATGAATTTGCATGCTTGAATCCCCTTCATTTAAAGCAATCACTAACTGCATCTTTCCAACAATATTGTTGAGGCGGCTGCTGAGAGCTTTTTTGGGATTATATATGACAGTTTTTGGATTAGTCTTTACCTTGACTGATATCTTAGCTGCCGACCAACTGAAAAGGATCATGTGCAAGAGCCTCAAGGTTAGATAACCGAGCTGCTTAACGTGTTTAACTGACGATGTTATTGTTCCTTCAATAACTGATGATTAATACATTTATCCAGATATGTTGCAAGGTAATGATCAAGTGGTTTCACAGCATCACGCCAGTAACTGGATAGATGCTGAAGAGGATGATGAAGATGATGAGGATGAGCATTACATTCAGCCAACACCGCCATACTATGAAGAACATTAACTATGAGAACTCAACTGTAATTGTTCTCTATTATCATGGTAGGTGCTCATGCCATTTCTCTTATCATGCGCTGTCTTTTGAAATTTTTCTATTTGAGCCAGCAACCCACCATCTAGTATTTAAAATGATTGAATAGCCATATATTGGTTGTTTGCTTGTACGTATTATGTCATTAAATCTGCCAGTTAGAAGCACCTATTCTTTTCATTTACAACCATATCCATATGTATATTAATGCACATACCGTATCTACATATTAATGCCATGTCCCTGTATCATATACATCTTCCCATATCCATGGACCATAAAATTGATGGCAAAGTATAATCACTTGAATTGTACTGAAGGGCCTAATTTCGTAGCCATAATTAATCTAGTAGCTTCCTTTATAGAGATACAGACTATGATCTTAGTAGACATATATATACTCTCTTACTAGTCTATTTTTTAGTCTTTAATGTAACCAGTAACTTTACACTAATTAATGGACACGTGGATGCAAGTGATGATTGGGTTGTTAATGGCCCAATGATCCAAGTCATTGTGCGTTGTATGGCATCTGATGATACAAAGAACAAGTTAAAGAGACATGATCTAATCCATAAAAGATAAATGTTGTGATCTAACTGTGAAGAGCTTATTAACTTGATTAGCAGTTACTTCATTGCAGAACACTAAAATGTCCATCATGAGGAAAATCTGATGTCAATTTTTTATTTAAAATAAATGAAGGAGCAAAAATGTTATAATTTTCTTTCCATGATGGGCTGACTAGTTAATTGGTTACATTTTATTCATACCTGCTGCTTGGCATATAGAATATATTCTACCACGTGGTTCTAGGATTTGAACTTCCAACTATGTCACTTTACATCCTCATTTGTAGATATTATTTTGATTTTTTTGGCATTTCATATTTTCCTGTTATCTTGGGTTACATAGAATTCAAAATGCGTAGGATGTTTCTAACAACTCTTTATGTGGTTGCTAGATTGGGATTATTATTCTAACCGAAAAGTATTCATGGGCATCCTTCTCATTTTGGTATTATTTCTCTCAATCAGCTTCCAAATGATGGTTTATGTATCTGGTACGCGCTGCGTACGTGCTTTGATACTTGCATGTTGATTGCCAAAGTCTGGATAGAATACGAAGATACCCCCACCTTTCATAATGTCTAGTCATCATGGACTGCTGGGTGCCTCGTTGAATTAAGAGTAGCTCCGGTAGATGTAAATGATGTATTGTAGTTTCTTTTTCTGTATTTACTCTTGAAGGGAAAAATTGTTAATAAATTCTGTAATTGATTTGAACCAGTTCTGTTCTTGCAGTCAGTCTGGTTGCTGACAATCGAACTTGATGATTTTGTTTGAATCAAGGAAATCAAATCTAATCTTTGTTAGGTGATATGTAAGATATGTAATTCACCGTAAACTCTTGGTGAGGTTGGTGGTGTTCCCTAATCTTAATTTAAACTTCAAAAACAGTATTAAAAAAAAAGGAAGGTTATACTTATTATATATATTTTTATTACTTTTTATTATTAAATTTTAATCGTTGATTTTCGTCAATTTAACGGTTAATACTGACGTAACTTTTCACAGGGGAAAAAAAAGAAAGTGAACTAATGAAACACTCAAACAAACTGGAATATAATATTGGCATCTTTTGCCAGCTAGTTTAGTTGACTATTTGGAGGCGAGAGGGCTTACGACTCAATCAACATTCAGCAGAGCCACCAAACTCATCCAGAAGGATACGGAAGTAGCTACTCGTATATTATATTTGAATTCTGAGCGAGGATTTCCTGCAAAATTAGTTAAGGGGAGTTCGGCTTAATTGGACTAGTTCAACGGTTAATACCAAACCCCAGAAAATTGTAGATTAGACTTTGATTTTCTTGTACAAATCTTCCTTTGACTTTTTATGTTTCCAATGCTAATCAAATAGTGTTAATCAACCAAGAAAAATATACCCCTTTTCTTTAATTTCATTTTATAGTGGTTATTTAAAAAATATTTAATTGGGATATTTTTATAAAAATAAGAAAAACAATATTTCAATAGAATTAATTCTCGCTTTTTTTATACTATAATAACCTGAAATCTTTCTCACGTATTTATTTAGCGGCTTGAAATAATTGAAGAGATCGGCATACTATTTACTTTGTCGAAAAACAATAATACTGTAAATTTATTTTTTAAAGAGACAAAGGATCTATATATTAATGTACTGAAAAAAAAAACCTATATATTATTATATGCACCTAAATAATATTTCTACACGTTGGGACACGTTTTGTTATTAAATAATATTTTTAATATATATAATATAATTTATATTTAATAGATATAACAGTTCATAATAAGTCATATATCCAATCAAATATTCAAATTTCATAATATAAATATAAACAAATTTTTTTTCGTACCTTGTTAATTTTTCATTTTAAATTTCATAACAGAAAAAATTAATTTATAAATGATTTTTTTTATTTTTAGTTAATAAAATAAAATTAAGATTAAAAAAAAAACGTATCTGAGCGTTGACCACGTGTCGGAAAAAGTTGACTGCGTGTCGAGAAAATTTGTCGGAGCTTGTCGAAAAGCTGACCACATGTCCTAAAATATTGACCGCGTGTCGGAGCGTGTCCGTGTCGGATACGCGTCCGACACGCACAATTCACAAAAAAAAACGAGTCCGTGTTTCAGACATATGCACAGACAAATAGGACCAGTACACATGTCATTTATCATATTTTCTGTTATTATTATTTTTAGATTTTAGACTCAATTTTTTAATTTAAATATACTTATTGTTGCTTATTAATTTTAAATATATATTATTTTAATGTATATTTTAAAAGTTTATCTAAAATAAAAAAAATACGTACAATATACAGGATATTCACTAGTTAATATACAAAGGAATGTTCTACCAAAAATATATATATATATATACAAAGGAATGTTTTGATTAGCAATTTTATTTAGTAAGATCTTTAAAGATTAACAGATTCAATCTTTAATTAATTTTTAAAACATCCGTAGTATTTATGCGTAAACAAATAATTCAAGTAATTATTTGGTCTTTGAGTTTAAATTAACATAAACATTGATTGGGTATCTGAGAGTGAGGTTGTATGTGGTTGCGGTCCGAGTCCCCGTTCAGTGAACGAATCAAAGTGTTGTGATTAAAAAAGGTGATTAGAGGTTTGTGTCATTGTGTGGTTTGTACTTTGTAAGACAGAGGAAACGACGTTTTCCCTCAAATAAAATAACTATTAATTATTTGATTACATCAGATGGCAGCTGTATCTGAGAGGTAGCTTTGGAACGCGTAAACACCGTCTAAACCAGATATGCACTGTGGGTCCCCTCAACTTCAACGTCCCTCATCTTTGTCTCTTGCCACTTGTCACATTCAAAACCACTTTTATTCTTCATAAGTATTCCAGCCTGCAAAGTGGGAATTGTTTTTGGTCATTTTAATTACGTTAAGGAGCTTCTTTTGGTCAATAAATATGTGTAAAATGTATAGGCTTTTGTGGGACACACTAAGCTCATAAAGTTACTTGTTTTTTTTTTTTTTATATTTCTTTTCGTAGGATGGGACATACAAAAATGTCAACTTTCCAATTCCTACCTACAAAATAAGGAATAATTCAAATTCCTTCACCCTCTTCCTTTCTTTTTATTGTGCGTTTGACTGACGAAAAAAAAATTTATCAGAAAAATATAATTATTAAAAATATGGTGAGAAAAAATAAATAAATAATATATTTAATAGACCAAAATATTATCGAAAAAATTAAGTTAAATTTTCTGAATTTATGTTTGGTTAAAAGTAAAATATTGATCAGAAAATAGAATAAAATTATTAAACTAACCCTTGATTAAATACAAAGAAGACTCTCTCTTCAGCTTTCTTTTGGCACATTTTTTTAGAAGAGATATTTGTGTCCATTGCTTTTTTTCCAACTTTTTGATTTGATGGGATAATGAGAATAACATCTCTGGTTGATATTCTGAAATGACAAAAGTTTTCAATTTTACAAGCAAACTGAGATTGCTATGCAAATTCGAATGATGTGCAAATTTTTTAAAATCTCCTACGAAATATTGTCAACTAGAAAACTTATCTCAACTTTTCTAGTCATCCTAAAAGAAACCTCCTAACAAACACCCCTAAGGGTGTATTTAGTTGGAGAATTTTATTTTGTTGCCGGGAAAAGTTCATACGTGATTTAAAGAAGACTATATTTGGTAGGAATTTTTAAAAAAATTGCCTAAAATTCTAATTTGCATGGGAATGTGACATTATGTATAAAATTTTATCCAGATTACCACTTGAGAAAAATATTACCCAGTGGGTGGTATTTTGATTTAGCATGTAAACAAAAAATTGTACACAAATATCTCTGAAATAACATGCCAAAATTTGATGGCAAAGGTTACTTTGATAAATTCAACTCGTTTTTCTACAAATATTGTACCTTCGACCAAAGACTCAGGAAACTTAAATCAATTTTTCTGATAATATTTTGATCTACTAAACAAATTTTTTTAACTTTTTTCAAAAAAATTAGGCTCTGCTTGGTAACTGTTTTAAAAAACAGTTTTTTGGTTTTCAGAACAAAAAAACTCGTTTGGTAAAACCTGTTTTGTAAAAAATGTTTTGAAAACTATAACTGTTTTATTGTTTTTAAAATCAAATTTAGAGAACATGTCTGAGTTGTTTTTGTTTTCTGTTTTGATTTTTAACTTTCAAAAAGAAAAAAATATAGAAAACAACTGTTTCCGTAATTATTTTACAAAACAATTTTAAGAACAAAAAAAACCAGAACACAATCAAACAGGCCCTTACTTTCCCACCATATTTTCAATAATTATAATTTTTTGATAAAAAAATTTTCTCCTCTATCAAACGTCCCTTGTCAAATAAAGCAAATCAACGAACACTATTTTACCAAAAAAAAAATCAACGAACACTCGCATGTTAAGTAGTGACGGAATTACTGTTATTAGACCAAGAACTCAGCGATGATCTTGTTAATGCGTTGCAACTCGGAACAGAGAGCCATCTTTGTTACTTTCCTAAGCTTTCTTACCGAGGCCGAAACTTACTAATTTCATTTATTTGTTGCACATATTAATAATATAGTTCAATAATATGTTCATATACAAACTTAATAACTGAAAATATAGTTATTTGAATACATATAAATTAGAATCATAACTTATATTATCTCTAGGATTTTTTTTAAGCTGAAAGAAATATTATTGAGCATTCCAAATCTAATATCTCTTGATATAATACTTCAAATAACTCTTAAATCATTTTCTTTCAAACCCATAACCTGCAATATTATTGACATTAGCAATCGAATAAGACATTATTGTGTGTTACTGAATTATTGAAGAGTGATAGAATTTAAAGATGTTTGGTAAAATGTTCCAAGGCCAAGGTTAACTTGGGCCGGATAAAGAGACAAGAGAATATAACTCACTGTTAGAAAATAGAAAACATTCACAAGAGACACTATACATATACTTTTCTCTTTAGGTGTGGGATATGCATTTACAAGTGAATATAACCACCATTTAAATAGCTAGGTCAACCACCAAAAAAATAGTATAATCTAAAGAGAAATAGTGATTTACCATTTTACATCAGTCGGTGCCACCTGCAATCAATGGACATTTTACGTAAACAACATTTTGCTTTGATGATCATCTTCTGTCTTCTGACTCTTCTTCGACCGCATTGACGTTCTCAACCAATTTCAAGTTTAATTTACTATCCCCTTCCACCCTCTAATGGCTAAAAATAAAATAACTCACTAATTATTATTTCTTTATATATATTTAAAAAAAACGTAACTAGAAAGCTTTTTTTTAATATAATACCAAAATATTTAGGTTATTATTAAAATTAAAATAACGATGTTAAACAGTTATGTAAAAATTTGAATACAGACTAATATTTGTGTAATATATATATATATATATGAGTAAACGTTTTCTTATATAACAGGAAAGTGATTTCTTTTTCCTGCACTAACATCGGCGATCGTGCCTCATTTTTTTCTTATTCTTTATTTTATTTTATAAAATATGGGACCCATTGGTTTTTGTGTCAACACAAAAATTGACAATTTTGTTGTAAAAGGAGAAAAGGAAATTCCTATTTCTCCCATATATATATGTATATATATATATATATATATATATATATATATATATGAAAATGTTATATTTACAAACTCTTCCAAAGTATAATATG